CACCCAGGAGCCCCATGGGGCTTTCTCTTTCCATTGTGTTATTTAAATTTGTTACAGTTGGGGCGCCTGGCTGACTCAGTCAGTGGTAGAGCCTGTGACTCTTGATCTCCGGGTTGTGGGTTTGGGCCCCACATTACTGTTCAAGTTTTTTGTATACATCAAGCTAAGTGTCCCCTCAGCATCCACGTCCTTCCCAGGCCCCCTCTGAAGTCTGAGGGGGTGGGGACAGCTAATGCCTGCAGCCTTCTCCAGGTCATAGGCCTGGGCCTCAGACCTGCCCCGAGAGGAATCGGGGAGGGGCGTCCTCTGCTGTCCGTCCAGGCCTGTGATTTATCGTTACCTGCGCTGGACGCTCAGTACCTCATAATCGTCCCATTGTAATGACTGCACAATACTGGCCGTTGACACAGGCAGTAAAATGGAACACAGGCAGGTGATCAAGTAAAACAGGAAGACAGCATTACAACCCGGATGGACGGGAGGCGCAAAAGCGTGATCACACAGTGAAGATATCGGGGGGATCTGGGGGACACAGGGTCTCGTCCACCTGTGTCGAAGCAGTAAAAAGCAGGAAGGTAGCCTGGTAAAGGTGGGGTCGAGTGGAAACCCGAGGGACTCTCAGGAAACAGGGATGCCCTGGGCTGTACAGTTAAGCTCCTGGAGAGAGGACAGGGCTTGAGGGTCCCTTTAGATCTGACGGAATTCTCCTGGGTCCTGCTCTGCTCTTAAATCTCGGACGAGTATTAGGAAACCGTCACTATACTGCGGTCTCCCTGCCCCCCTGCACCTTCAGCCCTGCCGTGATGGGGAATCTGCTCTTCCCGTGGGCCCAGCAAACCCTGAGAGGCTGGAAGCCTGCAAAGCAAACCCAGAATCTCGGTACTTAGGAATACCAAGGAATGAGTTTGGTTACAGCATGCCAATATCAGACTGTTTATTTAAGGTTTTGAGACACTAAAGTCAATCTGTCCAATTTAATTTGTGAGGTTTTTTTTTTTTTTAAGGACTCTCTGCACCCAACGTGGGGCTCGAACTGAGGATCCCAAGATTGAGCATCGTATGCTCTACCCACTGCATCAGCCAGGCGTCTGTAATTTGTGGTTTTAATTAGATCAAATGGTTGTAATAATTTCTCGCATCCTGGTATGCCTTCCTCTGCAATGAGATTCAGCTGTTCCTCCCATTAAGAGGTCACGTCTCGGGGCGCCTGGGGAGCTCAGTCAGTTGAGCGGCTGACTGGCTCAGGTCATGATCTCGCAGTTCACGGGTTTGAGCCCCACATCGGGTTCCGTGCTGACAGCTCAGAGCCCGGAGCGTGTTTTGGATTCTGTGTCTCCCTCTCTCTCTGCCCCTCCCCCACTCATGCTCTGTCTCAAAAATAAACAACAACAACAACAACAAAACAAAAAAAGAGAAGAAAGAACATATCCTTGTTTAAAATACATACATATATATATTCCGTTAGATGTGCAGGTCTCTTGGGGCGCCTGGGTGGCTTAGTCGGTTAAGCGTCCGACTTTCGCTCAGGTCATGATCTCGCAGTTCGTGGGTTCGAGCCCCGCGTCAGGCTTTGTGCTGACTGCCAGCTCAGAGCCTGGAGCATGTTTCGGAGTCTGTGACTCCCTCTCTCTCTGACCCTCCCCTGCTCACGCTGTCTCTCTCTTTCTCTCTCCTAGAAAGAAATAAAACATTAAAAAATTAAAAAAAAAAAGATGTGCAGGTCTCTTTTTAAGGTTTACTTTTTAAAAATTTTTTAAATTTTTAATGTTTTTAAAATTTATTTCTGAGAGAGAGAGAGAGACGGCATGAGCAGGGGAGGGTCAGAGAGAGAGGGAGATAGAGAATCTGAAGCAGGCTCCAGGCTCTGAGCTGTCAGCACAGAGCCTGACGTGGGGCTCGAGCCCACAAACTGTGTGATCATGACCTGAGCTGAAGTCGGACGCTTAACTGGCTGAACCACCCGGGTGCCCCATAGATGTGCAAGTCTCTTTTGCAGAGTTTGAGGTATTTGAGAAGACCGGCTCTTTCATCTTCATAAAATGTAGTTTAAAATCTATTAGGGAATTTAATTACCTACGTTGGTAATTGGCATTCATTTTTAGAAATTAATCTGTTGAACCTATGAGTTAATTAAATATTCATCAAAGAATAAGTGAAAGTGATCACTCTTGTTTTCATACAAAAATTAGTAGATTTAGAAATAGAAAACTAGATTTGCAAGTTGCACTCGGCCATTGAAAAAAGAAAAACGAGTTCTTTTTTCAATTTATAAGTTTAATAAATACAGTATTCATTTAAGCACAAGCAGCGGTTGGTAGCTTTTCTCTGCACAAGAGCCTCCTCTGACATTAGAATCCTCAGCAGACGATATCCGACACTACAGCCTTACTGGAGGATTCTGTAGGCTTCCATTGCCTTTCCTTCCGGGCAATACTTCGGACACACACTTCTTTGGTACTTGGTGGGGCTCAGGGCTCGCTTAGCCCAGCCTGGGAGGCTGTGAGCTGGAACCTTCTCTATCCTGGCTATCGTGTGAGAACAGAGCTGACTCCCAGCAAAAGAATCAGAAGGACTGGTCCAGATGCCTGGGGTGAGCAGAGCACTTCAGACCCTTGGTGTAGGGGATGTGGATTTCATGCTCTGTGCACAAAGCAGCCTCCTGATTGGTCACCAAGACTTTCTATGGCTGGGGCCTCTGTCTCTCCCTGCAGCCTCCTCCCCAGACCATGCCAGAAAGGGGACAGGAGGCAGAATAATGGCTCCCCAAGATGTCCATATCTTCCTCCCTGGAGCCTGTGAATATGTTATATTACATGGCAAAGAGGAATCAGGGTTGCAGGGAATTAATGTTACTAATCAGAAGATGTTAAACAGGAAGGGTGTCATGGATTATCCTGGTGGGGCCAGTTTGATCACAAGGTCCTTGCAAATGGATCAGGTGGAAGAGGGTCACAGGCAAGGGCCACTATGAGAGAATGGTTCACGAGAGGCCACACTGCTGGCTTTGAAGATGAAAGAAGGGTGCTGTGAGCTACAGAATGTGGGTGCCTCATTCTAAGCTGGAAAAGACCAGAAAGAGCCTCCAGAAGGGAACACAGCCTTGCTAACGCCTTGATTTTTAGCCCGGGGAGACCCCTGTCAGACTTCTGTCCTACAGAACGTTAAGATAATACATTTTTCGGGGCACCTGGGTGTTTCAGGCAGTTGAGCGCCGCCTTTGCCTCAGGCCAGGATCTCAAGGTTCATGAGTTCGAGCCTCACGCCGGGCTCTGTGCTGACAGCTCAGAGCCTGGCGCCTGCTTTGGATTCTGTGTGTGTGTCTCTCTCTCTGCTCCTCCTCGGTTCACACTCTGTCTCTCTCTCAAAAATAAATGAACATTAAAAAAAAAGGTAATACATTTGTGCAGTTTAAGCCACTACAGTCGCTGTAACTTGTTACAGCAGTGATAAAAAACACGTGGGGTCATGCACCTGCTTCATTTCCTGAATCAGGACACCTGTGTAATTGCTTTTCAGCCCCCCCCCCAATGAGAACCAACCAACCAGGCCCGAGTCTGGGCTCCGACCCTCCTTCAGTAGCCTGTTGACCTCCACTCAGTGTTCATCTGTGCGCTGCGGCTGCCTCACCGGGCGGTTGGGAGCGCATCACAAGTTCACGGAGGTATAGCAAACGGAAGCAGAGTGCCAGCTGGGACCTTGCTGTCCCCAGTGTCGGTGTTAGTTGGCAAGGCCCTTCTCACCTTGCTGACTTATGGGAGAAGTGGTAAGTGGTGAGGTGACCTCCATTCTGGGGGCCAGACTACCCCGTCCTGAACAATTCTCGCTGCCCTTTTCGGGAGAGGGTGCAGGCCTTGCTGATGGTCCTGGAGTGTTGGGGACCCTTGGCCCTTCGTTCCTTGCCCCCTGGCTTCTGATCTTCCCTCTGGACCCTCATCCCAGGCTGATCACCGCCTCCTCCCTGCAGGCAGGTCTGTGCTGGTCTTCCCGGGCCGGGTGGGTGGGGGGGGGGCAGCTGTATCCACAGGCTCCCCACAGCCCTGTTCCAGGGGGTGGGGGTGGGGGGTATGGACCTGGAGCACAGGGACAGCTCTGCAGCCGCCAGACCTAAGCCCCGGGCCCTGTCTTCCCCTTAATTTATAGTTCCGGGGCACCTGGCTGGCTGTCAGTCGAGCATGCCACTCTTAATCTCAGGGTCTTGAGTTCAAGCCCCACATTGGGCGTGGAGTCTACTTAAAGTTACAGCTCAAGAAGTGGGTCTGGAGAGGTCTATGCGCCCGAGTGTGGCAAGCTGGTACCAGGACCTTCTCTGGGACCCTGGCTCCTTTTCAGGTTATAAAAATATTCACTATTATATTTATCAAATAATAGGAATAGTACAGAAAAACAAACATTAAAAATTCTACCGTCTTCGTAAAAAAAAAAAGTTAGAAAAAATGTAAAGAAAACAACCCCTCCAATTCTTCCACCCGAGAACGCCTCTCGGAACTCAAATTTTCTGTCTTCAGATTCCACTGTGTCCCCCCCTTGCCTCCCAGGCTGCTCTCGATTTGCTCCAGCCGCGTCCCCGCCCAGCTGCCGGGGGAAAGTCGCCGAACCGGACCTACCCGTTCACGTCACCTCCTCGGGACCCGCCGGGACCGCGGCTCCTGCGGAACGGGGGGCGGGGGGGGCGGGATGGGGTGCGCCGAGCCCGGGTTCGGTACCGGGCGGGAGCGGGGAGGGGTGACGAGGGCAGAGGCGGGCCCCGGCCGCGCTGGGGGTGGCGGGCGGCCCCGCAGGCCCGGAAAGTTGGCGCCGAGCCCCGAAGGGGGCGCCAGGCCGCCGCGCGACCCTCTGAGAAGCAGGAGGCTCCCCGCGCTGCGCGATCCCGGGCGCCCGGAGCCCGCCGAGTCCGGGCGGGCGCACACGTGTGTAAACGAGTGCGGGGGCCCGTCGGGCGGCCGGGACTACAAGTTCCAGGGTGCCCAGCGGCGCGCTCCGGGTTTCTGGCCGCGCGGCCCGCCAGCTCGGAGCCGGTCGCCGCCGGCGTGCACACACCAGCCGGTCCCGAGCGGTTCAGGGAGACACTCTCCCAGCACCGTAAATAGAGTCCAAGTGGGCGGGGAGCCGCCCCGCGCCGCCCGCTCATGTCCCTGCGGAGCCAAGTGTCCGGCCGCCTGGCACAGCTGCGCGCGGCGGGGCAGCTGCTCCGCGTCCCGCGCCCCTGGCCCGGCCCCTCGGCGGGTGCCACGCGGACCCGCAGCAGCGCGCGCGGTCCCCCCGGCGTCCCTGGGCGCCTACAGCCCCGGCGCGCGGCCCCCAGCGGGAGTTGGGGCTTGGGGGGCGGCGGCGGTGGGGCGGAGAGGAGAGCCGGGGTGCGCACCTGGGCCCCCCTGGCCATGGCGGCGAAGGTGGACCTGAGCACCTCCACCGACTGGAAGGAGGCAAAATGTAAGTGAAGCAGGAGGGGGGCGCGAGGGGCGAGGGCGGCCCCACGTGGGCCCTGGACAGCACCCCGCCGGCAGCCCCTTCCACCCGGGGGACCCGGGGAAGTTAAGGCCTCGAATGCCCTAGTACGGACCCCTCCACTCACAGCCACGCCCCCCGCGCGCCCGGCCCCACAAATCACTTCGCTCCCTACAAGGTCCGGGTCCCCTGTGTGGGGGGTAGTGTGAGGAGGCCGACCTGTCCCCGCCCTCATGGGTCCCAGGGATCATCCAGGACCTACCACCTGACTCCGTCGTGCAGGAGGGAAACTGAGCTGATAAGCCCAAGGTCACTGGGAGTTGGTGGCAGAGCTGACATTCGGCTCCTGAATTCCCCATGCTTTGTGCAGCGTGGCTACTCAAGTGGTGGCATTTTAGGCAGAGTGGCAGGAAATGGGCTGAGGGGACAGCTCTGGGTCTGGGGTCTCACCTGGTAGGATCAGATGGCCCCCACAGAGTGGCCTGCCCGGGGACCGGGCCATCTGATTCAACCTCCAGCCCACCCCTACCCTGAAGGCCTGCCTCTCTGGGCATGTGATCTAGTGCCCTTTCGCCCTCATCCGTGGCTTCTGGCCACTTGTGAACAGTTTCTGCCCCCTTCCTGGGGGACAGAGGGCTGAGGGGCTGGGGGGGGTGGGCACAGAGCACAGATGGGGCATTATGTTTGTGAACAGTGACACCGCTCTGGGACAGGTCATGAGCCCCGGGGCGGGGCTCTGGGCCCCCACACAGTATAGCCAAGGGAGGGCACCCGGCCTGCAGAGCCCCAAATAGTCCGGCCACCTGCGGCCAGCTGCCCCTGCCCTTCAGAGCCTGCTCCCGTAGCCATTTCTGGCCGGATCCCCTTTCTAAAGCACAGGGGAGGCGGCTCATTGGCTGGGCCCCTGCGGTGGAGTGGGTAGCGGGCCTGGGGCTGGCCGTGGATGGAGGTAAAGGGAAGGCGTCCTCCCAGAATTAAGGTCAAGTTCAAGATGACTTCCCCGCTGTCGTGAATAGTGCTCCTTCACCAGGATCCTAAAGCTCGGGCAGAACCCTTGACGTTGCTCCATGCACACAGAGTGGCTCAGCCCTTGTCCTAGAACACTGGTTAGGGCGGGGGGCTGGGGGGCTGGCAGAGACTCCTGGCACCCGACTGTCCCCACGGGAAGCCCACTTCCCCTTCCCTGTCAGAGAGCAGCAAGCCAGCTTGGTGGGAAAGAGAGCGGGGGGGGAGGCAAGGGGCCCTGCCACCTGCTCCTGGGCCTGCTACTATTTCTAGGATCCAGCTCCCTGCCCCCTCCCGTTCCCTGGTGCCCCTGAAAACTTCCTGACCTTGCGAAGCTGATGGGCCAGGGATTCCCAGGTTACTGTGGTGCTCTACTTGGAGCTGGGATTTTCATTCATTCATCCTTTTTTTTTTTTAAGTATAGTTACTTATTTTTAAGTAATCTGCATACCCAATGTGGGGCTTGAACTGACGACCCTGAGATCGAGCGTCACATGCTCTTCCAACTGAGCCAGCCAGACACGCCTCTTTCGCCCGTTATTGATCCTTCAGTGTGGCCGGCACTGCTCTGGGAGTCAGTCATGAGTGAGCTCGCGAGGTCCCTGCCTTCACGAAGCTTCTTCTTTAGGGGAAGGAAACAGTTGAAAATGTGGTCACGCGGATGGGGCAGTGCCAGGCGGAAATCATGGTGGATGGGACCGCCCGAGCTCCAGTGTCCAGGCAGGAGGCAGTGTGGGGGGGCGGCCTCAGCCCAGGAGCCTTGGCCTTGGGTGTGAAGACCCCCGCAGGCATGCTGGGGGTGATCAGTGTGTTTTAGTGATCTATTATTAGTGATCTGTTATTTAGTGATCTATCTCTTTAGTGATCAATTATCCCAAAATTCAGTAGCTTAAAACAGCAGACGTTTATTACCTCCAGTCTCTGATGGCCAGGAAGCCTCAGGGGTAGCTGAGTGGGGTGGTTCTGTGTGGAGGTTTCCAGGAGCCCCAATGGGACTTGGTTACGGGTCACCCCCACCCCCCAGGAGCTGGCTCACTCTCACCAGGTGGCTGTTGGTTGAAGGCCTCAGTTCTTCACCGCAGGGAGTCTCTCACCACATGGCAGCCGGATTCCCCCCAGAGCACGCAACCCCCCCAAGAGGGGGAGCGTGAGGAAACCAAGCCAGAAGCCACAGTCCCTTTTTGTGACCTAGTTTGCAAAGTCGCACGCCGTCTCTTCTGTTTTATTCTGGGGCTTAGAACAGAGTCATGGAGTCTGGCCCACATTCAAGGGGAGGGAAGTGAGTCTCTCCCTTTGGAAGGGATGAGGATCAAAGAATTTGAGGCATATTTTTAAAACAGTTTTTAATGTTTTTATTTATTTCTGAGAGAGAGAGACAGCGTGAGCAGGGGAGGGGCAGAGAGAGAGGGAGACACAGAATCTGAATCAGGCTCCAGGCTCTGAGCTGTCAGCACAGAGCCCAACGCGAGGCTCAAACCCACAAATCATGAGATCATGATCTGAGCCAAAGTTGGACGCTTAACGGACTGAGCCACTGAGGCGCCCCTGAGGCATATTTTTAAAGCTACCACCCTGGGGAGCCGCTTTGCTGGAGCTGGCCTCTGATTGGGGTCCAAGCCTTGGTCCTGGAAGGCCTTCCCCCCCTCCCTCGACCTTTTATTCATACTGTTCGGCTTACACCTTGAGCTGAGGTATGGTGTACCACGAAACACATGAAGCGTACAGACCTTACCCGTACGGTCAGTATACTCTTGCATAAACATCTGATTTGTGGTCAGTAGGTTGCCATCCCCCCCAGAAGGTTCCTTTGAGCCCCTTTCCAATCAGTGCCTCTTACAGCTTCTCAAACTTCACATGAACAGAGGCATATGGTGTGCCCAGCTCATGTACAGTTGTGTGGTTCATGCACATTACTGAGTGCATCAACAGTTTGGCCTTTTTATCGCTCTGTAGGATTCCACAGTGTGGGCGTATCATGTTTTGTGTACCCATTCTATTGGTGGGCGTTTCGTCTTCCAGTTTGGCGCTGTTGGGAGTGACGCTGCTCTGATTATTCCTGTACGTGTCTTTGATGGACATATGCTCTCGGCGATATATGGACATAGGCCTCCAGAGGCCTGTCTGTGCCTGAGATGAGCCTCTCTTGAAGACTGCCGCACACTAACCAAACTCACAAGAGCCTGATGTACGTCAGAAGGTTGATGCACTGCTCTCGGGGTGGGGGGAGGAATATGACAACGCTGGGTCTAGAAACTCGTGTGTGCCTGCGCAGGGCCTCCTCTTCCCGTGGAAAAGCCACATGAGAGCCAAAACATAGCCTCAGCTCCTCAGCAGCATGTGCTCTCAGCTGGGGAGCTGGGTGAACGATCAAGGAAGCTGATCGCACAGCCCTGGGCAGGCTGGGCAAGCTTCCCTGCAAGGGGTGGACCTACCCGCCGAGGAGCCCCTTCCTTGGGTGGTCGCTCGCTGTAACAGTGTTACAGTCTTTTGTGCTGGGTGCCTGCCCTGGGCCCTGGGTTCAGGATGCCTCAGCTGCCGGGCCCCATGAGTCCTCTGGGCCCATGGCCAGATTCTGCCTCCCTCTAGGTATTCCCTTCCTCCCTCTTAAGCTGGCCGGCCACTTCTGTAGACCCATTCTCCCTCTAGGTAAGTAAATACCACCAGACGGGATACCACCTGGCTAGGAGACAGTCTTTTGGGGGAGATCTCCATTGTATCTGGTTTTCATGGCCAGAGGGTAATTTCTCTAATTGAGTTCCCTGTTATGGGGGGGGGCTTCATAATCCCCCCCCACCCCCCATAGTGTCTTTTTATCAGAAGATCGTGGAAACAGTTGTACTGTAAAGGCAGTTGGGCATGAGGGGATTTAAGGTTGAGCCCTGGGCACATCTAGGGGCTGTGTCCCCGCAGGGTGGAGCCCAGCTTTCAGGAGGAGGGCCACAGATCCTCCTTCCCAACGGCAGTGGGGGCAGAGCTAACTGCTAAAAAGAGGGTGGGCATTGGTGTCATCAGACACGGGCAGGGCCCAGCACCACTACCTCCACGCTCCCCGTGCCTCGATTTTGTCATCTGTGAAATGGGGCCAACGGCACCTGATTCGTGGGTCATGCTGGGATTGCATCAGAAACCATTTTGTATATGGTGGTGGCCCCCATGGTGTACAAAGGGTCCCCAGCGCCCCCCCCCTTTCTTGCCACCCCTCAGGCCCATCTCCCCTCTCCTCTCTGTTTTGGCCACGGCGACACTGGGCTTGTGGAAACTTGTCTCCCTCACGGTCTCTGGTGCTGGCGCCCTGACCTGCGTGTCCTGAGTTGCGTTTCCCATCCCGGGCGCCACACGCTAGTAAGGTCCAGCCTCATTTTGCACTGGGCAGGGGTCAAGGGCACAGTTCAACCCCCGCCCCCCCGTGGAGTTTCCCACAGAGTGGATGGTTTCTCTGATTTGATGAGTGAACCAGGGAAATCCGCAGGCCCGCCCGGGAAGTGGGCCGGGGTGGGGGGTGGGGGTGTTCTCCCACCTGCCTTCTGGGAAAGCAGCCTCGGCACATCCCAGCACGGCTGAAGGCAGGCGCAGGGGCCTAGGGAGAGCAGGACACCTCCGATGTGCCTCCTGCCCTGTCTCCCCATTGCCGGTGCCACGGATTTTGATGAGACCCTGCTCTTGGGGGACATTGAGCCTGGGTGATTAATGCCCCTGCCACCGTGTTCCCAGAGCCCTGCCGTTATCAGCCCCGCCCACCCGGCCTTCTCCAGGCGAGGGCCCCCCCGTGCGCCAGCCAGCACCCCCCCCTTTCTGAACACTGGCTGGCAAAGTGCCATAAGGACACTTCTTAAAACACATCATTGGATTCCCGTTCGCCCGCCGCGCTTTATGGTCCTGGCGCAGACTTCTTCCTCTAGCGCGGCTTTCGTGCCCGGGAGCCGTCAAAAGCTGCGTCCGGGGTCAGGCCTCCCCATCAAACTTTACTGCAGACATCTTTT